GCACCAATTAGGAACGTCGTTGTGTGTTGGTCTTGCTCAACGGTTTCAAAACACTTTTACTGTCTATATAGAGACTTATAATACGCTGTTATTCTGTGTATTTTTTAAGAAATCTGATATCCTCATAAAATTGCACTTTTTAGAGCCAGTGCTTCCGTTTGAAGACTGTGCTGTGACTTACTAATTTTACCATACGTGTTTCAATTATGTCACCATCTTCTGGGTCTGGGTGCTTCTTCTCCATGGTGTGTTGTATGCAATAAAAGCTGCACCCACTTGTTCCGTGTTCTTTGAACCGTCGGGAAATTTGTTGCTAGAGCTATTTTGTGTCCACTTAAACTTTGACATCTCTGCCAGATGCCGTCTCATTCGTATTAGTTCCTTTCCTATCCCATGATGTGAAATCATAAAATCCTCAATCTTCGCGTCATCTTGTTAATGCAGAAACCTGTAGATTTTGGACTCTTCATCCGCTTTACGATCCAATGGTAGAGCGCCCGCCATAACTTGTAGGGAAGAGGTGGGAGTGGTTCTAAACTCTTCGATAATATGGAGAACTACCGTCTTTTGAATTTGCAGCAGTTTGTTGGTCACTCTAACCGTACCACTTCAGTGCCACCAGTTCGGGCATCCGTACAAGATTAGTCTTTCTATGGCTCTTAAATATTGATGGGCTTGTCCATTCAGCACAATCTCGCAGGATCGCACAAAAGCTTAGTATCTTTAGGGAAAGTAATAATTTTCGTCTGCTCAATACTGAAGTTCAGCTTAGAAAACTTACTCCAGTTTTCAATAGCAGTTAAGGCATTCCTTGCTTCCTTTTTTTATGGCAGTTCTATTACCGCGCCCCACTATGATTACAAAGTCGTCAGCGTATGCTTGAATCATGACATCTTCCGCAAGGTCGAGAGTTAACGCTGTATTAGCAATAATATTCCATAAGATGGGGACTAGACTGGACCCTAAGGAGCTCCTTTGTAGTAATTCTGTATAATATTAACACCATCTCTTGTGTACGTGACTCTTTTGTTATTGAGATGATCTCTTAGGAGGATGTAAATGTTCTTAGGGCAGTCAAGGTACATGGAGTGTGGCTAATAAATCTGGCCGTTATAAATGATTGAAAGCAGACATCACATCAAGCGAGATAATGCTTGTATTCTAGTTTTTATTGTGATTAATTTTGATAATTGTCACCACATTGTTAAGCTCAACAATAGGGCTTCTGCCTGGCGTTAAACCGAACTGAAAAGGATGAAGACGAGTGTTCTTAAGGAGATGGTAACATAGTCTCTGCGCTAGCAGTTTATCAAGGATCTTTCTCCAAGATGATAGGAGACAAATTGGACAGTATGCACGTGGGTTAGATCTATCCTTATATTCCTTAGGAAAGAGAACCAGATTTACAACTTTCCACTCGTCAGGGAAGCATCCCAGCTTCAAACATTTATTCAATATTTCTAAACACAGTTCGCTATTAGCGAGATAGGGTTCTATTTCATCCAAACCCAGTGCTCTGCCTTTCATTGTCATCCGTATCACATCTCTTATTTCTTAGTCCGTGAACGAGACATCATAATTAGTCTGTGACACAGTATTTGCTTTCAACCTCATACTTTTTTTGCTGTTTTTCCTCAGTACTTTCTTAGTCTTTAGGAAAGTGGTGATAAATGATAAACTCCACCATCTCATGAATATCAGGAGTAAATATTCCGTCTGTTTATTATTTTAACACAGTTGCAATTGGGAGAGACTCTTTCCTTTGGCGACATTATAATAGGTGCTAAAAGGAGAGGCAGGGGAGAGATTTTTTCAGAATTTGTTCCAGGTATTCGGATTTTCCTTTCATATATTACTTTTGCACATAGCTTCCTCTCTTTTGTTAGCTTCCCGGAGTTTCTACCATCTTCGTAATTCCATAGCTCGCCCTAGTACTTTCTTCGTAGGATTCGGACTTTCTTCCTTTGAATAGTAAGTTCTATAGTCCACTAAGGGTTAGACTTGGGGTACTAGTGACTAGTTTTGATAGCTTTACAGGTGGCATTATAAATAGTCTTTATCTCCTTCGAGGTATATGGGTAATATGGTCCATGTCCGCTTTAGAAATCAGGGTGGTAGTGTGCTGGAACTTCTCCGACAGCATTGACCGGAAGCCAAACCAGTTAATCCTTTTTAAATTCCAACGCTAATGTTTCTTTTTCTAAAGAGAGATCTCTGGAATTTCATAAGATATCATGCTGTGATCACTCAGGGTCATGTCATCGCTTACCGTCCAGTTGTCCACTTCTAGGATGCCTAATGGTTTGACTATGTTTAGATCCACCCATGATTCTCCTGTGTTGGAAACACATGTTGCCCGACTTGTTGGATCATTGCATACTACAAACCCTGTTGAAGCAATGGAGTCTCAGATTTGTGCATCCCTCGTGTCTATGTATGAGAGGTGCTTCGCATTGAAGTCACCCGAGACGCTATATACTGTATCGTCGTATTTTTCAGTAATAGTATCTAAGTCACAGAGAATATCATTCAGACTTCTAGAGGTATCGAAGGAGCACAATAAACTAAGCATAGAAGGAATGGTGCAGCTCCTCCCACTAGGATGGCTACAACGTTTACTGGGTTCAAAACTTCAAGAATGGAAGATCCGGAACTGTTGGCTAGAACTGCTGTTTTGGGGTTGATATCTTTGTGATACTTGCGCATACTTATAGGTATGTCAAAAGCTCATTTTTATATACAGAGTATTCTTAGATGTAATCTAAGACTATTTTGTGTCAGACTATCCTTATTTTGTGTCAACTGCACAGTGAGCTGTTTTGATGCACTGTTAGAGTGCTGGAGATTGAGCTGTATTTTTGTAACTATCCATACTTCACTTTTAGTTTGTAAATTTCAAGCTCCCTTCTATAGGTTGGGCAAGTCTTAGCCCTAGCATCGTGATCCTCTTTTAGGTCGAGTTTCTACCTGTCATTTACCTTTGATACATTTCGCTTCTGTCCCATGGCAATCTGCCTTCAAATGTCCGGTCTCTCCACACTTCAAACATTTTTGTTCTTCTTTACAATTGCCTTTGGTGTGTCTATATACAAAGCAATTAAAGCACTGTGTTGCTCTAATAAAGTAGCACATAGTGTTACTCGTGCAAGTGCAAGTTGAGCTTCTGACATTTCTTTATGAGTTTGAAGGAGTCTGGATCCACAACTAATAACGCAGTTCCTTCCATAGCTTCCTATTATGGATACTTCCCTTCTGTTGTTGCATCTTCTTACCCCGTGTTTTGGGTTTTTATTTTTTGAACTAGGTTTTCTTTTGTGATATCTTCATTGGCATTATATACCATGAGCTTGGAATTCACCCTATTTGGATGTTTTACATCCATTTCATTCTTTAATGCTTCATTCTCCTGGATTGCTTGCTCCTGGAGGGCTATATCATTTTAATTCGCAACTTCTATAAAAGGACGCCACCCTTATTTATCTTCCTTACTTTCCTTATTCCCACCTTTAGTTTTGTGGGATTTATGTTTTGAGCCAGTTTTTTTTTACTTCTGTTTAAATTCTATTATCATTTTTGGAATACACTAGGATTAGGTGCTTCTTCTGGTTTCATTCTTCTTGACAACGAATGATATTTCGAACGTTGTCTTATTGTTTTCGAGACTTTCTCTGCATAGGTCTTTTTGCTTTGCGCAATTGTTTCCACTATTTCGTTTATATTATCAGCCAGTTCTGAGTTTTCTTCCAGTGCCGCCATAGCTAAGCACTGTTCTCTCATAAGGTTATCATAAGGTTAAACATATAAGTAAAGATATGTCTCATTTCTTCACTAGAATCTCTTGTAATACTCTCTGTTTTGAGGAAGTTTGTCATTTGTTACATGCTGCTTCCATGAGGAAGTCCTTTGAGGCTTGTACCTTCTGTGTTTGAAGTATTGCATTTCATATCACTAATGAATCACTTGGAAAAGTGAAGTCTGGTACGTACTGACCACTCTGGTACCTTGGGATTCACAACCAGAGATGAAACTGAGTCCAGCTTTAGCCCTCTTTCAAGGGAGCCCTCTGAATACGACAAAGTACCGGCCTCGCGGGAAGTGTATAAATAGAAAAAGATTCAATAGAAAGAACAATCCACCTAACTATTCAAATTCGCTTGAATCGAAGCACAAATCACAACTAAAATACCACTTCCCCAGGGGAAAGGTATGTAGTAAGGAGGGAGAATATACTTTAAAGACTTTCTAGCGGAATCTGACTCGTATTTACATTACACATATGGAAACCACGAAAACCTACCATGCAGCCAACCCATTCGTTTAGCTCTAACCCAGGTCGAACTACCAGTACTCAGCTGTTTCAACTACTCCGTCTCTGCTAGGACCATTTGCAAGCAAAATTCGTTAATTGAGCTTTTTCAATCTTCTCACAATCTTGCCAAAAAGTGTGCAGTTCTATCATCATACCAATATATTTTCCTCGAAATGTAGTCTCGAACCCAAATGACGATAAAAGAGTTTTCTTGCAGAGGAAGAATGATGCCATTAAAACGTGTCGTTCGCTGTGCGGTACGGTTTGCTTAAATGCGATCGGGCAATTAGCTTTAGTATGTAGTTGCTTGCAAAGTTCTTTTTTATAATAAAAGGAAAAAAAAAGTAAGAATGAATTATTTTCATATATAACATTTTTATTATTCTTTATAGCACTCGCTAACTCCTTGCAGATTTTAGCCATGACAACACTTCAAAACTAAACTGAAACTATGGGTGAAGTGAGAGTAGTAGTTATTATCTAGTAGAAGTAGTTGTAGTTATTATGACCAATTATAATTTTGCCTACATCACTCCCCTACCAGTAACAAAGTTACATTACTCTGAAAACATGGTGGGAGAGAAGATACAAATATCTATACAAATAACACTGATACAAATACATAAATTGAAATTATGTACACAAAGAAAAACATAGTTAAGTTTAAAATTAATATGAAAGAATTATAAGTTCAAGAAGAATCAATAACGTCATTGAAACGAACTGGAAGTTTTACTTGTCTTCCACAGCGTGTTGATTTTTTAGGTTGTTCTAGTTGCTGACTTGGCACAGATGTTTGCTTACTTGGCACAGATGTATGATCACTTTTTGAAGTTGGAAGCAAAAGTTCATTAGGTTGTAACACATAAGCTGGTTTTAACCTATCCACAGAGATACTAACTTGTCTATTTTTAATTGATAGATTAAAATATTTCGGGGTTCTTTGCAGTACCAAAAAGGGTCCTTCATATGGGGGCGCCAAAGGTTTTTTTACTCTGTCAAGCCGCAGAAACACATGCGAGCATGTGTACAAATATTTTGGAATGAAAATCTTTTGTTTACATTTGGATTTGGATTTGGATTGATACGGCTTTAAGAGAGCCATCTGATTTCGAAGATTACTTACAAAATTATCATTAGATATGGGCATGTTTGATCCTTCAAAAATTTCGCCAGGTAATTTTTTGCCATAAACCATTTCAGCTATTGTATACTTACAGTCCTCATGTAGAGCAGCTCGCAAATCCATAAGAACTATTGGTAACGTTTTTGTTCAATGAAGAAAGTTATGACATCTAATAGCGGTTTTTAAAGTACGGTGTAGACGTTCAATTTTCATCTCAGAGGATGGTTAACTCACATAGCGAAGCCAAATTTTGAATAAGGAGTTTTTCTTAAGATACAATGTTTATTTTAATTTGTAGGGTTTATATTTATTTTAACTAACATTTATTTTAAGTTTAAACTATCTTTCCTGTCAAGCCTTACTTTCCCCTGGAACTGCCAATGCCAGAATATGTAAATTTTGAGTAGAACGCGCAAGGATTCAAATTATCAGCGGAAGTATTCTGATTTAAATAGAAGGAAACGAGTTCGGTGAGGTGAGATTATTCTTACTTCAGCGAGCGCGGAGGTAGTTTAGCGAGAATTGAAGAACCCCGCGTTTGCGGCCTATGTGCTTGGCGGGAAGTAGTTGTAATCGTTCCAGTGAGCTTCAAGTCTGCTGAATTAGCAGCGGTATTGTAAAACGCGGTGAGTTAGTTATTTTAGAGAGCCTCGTAGTTAGAATCTTGTCTTTAGTTTCTTTTCAGGTTATTATTTTTATTTGACCTGCCGAGTTGGCACCGTCTGTAAGCGTCAAGAGCACGCAATTGTAATTTATTACGTTGAATAAAAAGGGACTTAAACCCTTACAAGACTCTGTTTTATACAAGTTTTCACAGTCACCTCTTGGTTGCGTGCAAGTTGGAGGCGCGCAACGTTATATTGGCGCCCGAACACTTATCGAACTGAAATGGCCGAAAATGAAAACTGGATGGAAGCCGCTGGACAACACCAAGAAATGACAAGCCAGTTAGAAGGATTTGGATACCTGGTCCAGACTTTGAGAGCATCAATCAAGCCAAACGTCTATTTCGACGGAAAAAATTCGGTGGTCCGTATTTCTAGAAGGTCTAGAAAACCACTTTCAGCTCTACCCTGTGCCTGAAAGACAAAAAGTTGCCATCGCCACATCAGCACTAAGAGGACAGGCCGCGCTATGGTGGAAAAATATAGGCAAATTTTTCTAGGTGAATTTGGAAGCCCGACATATACATTTGAAAATTTCAAAAAATCGTTAGTAAAGGCCTTCCCCATAGTGAAAGATCGCGCACGGCTGGAAGCCGAACTATATAGTTTCTATCAACGGGATACAGCAGAATTGACGGACTTTATTTTACGAAAAATCAAGCTAACGGATATGCTGTATGGGAAAAAAACCCGATGCGGAGATTATTGAAATAATATTACCAAGATTGTTACCCGCTGTTCCAAGACTACTTTGAAATTAGAAACCCAAGCACATTGCAGGAACTTTTCGAATTGGCGGTGAAGTTTCAAAATCGCAGAATAGCGGAAAAAGCGAGAGGGGAAACATATTCTCAAAGTACCCGAAGGAAGGAGGAAACCAGAAATGGAAATCGCTCTTATGGGGGAAAGAACTATCAAGCTAACGCATCGAAACTCGAAGGTCAAGGCCCAAAAAGAAAATTTGAAAATAAACATCCGCGTACCCAGAAGACACAGATTGAAAGGAAAGCTTTAAACGACTAGAGGGGCCTGTGAAAGGGAGGGTCCAGACCCCGGAAGTTTTAAAAAAACCCTCAAATAGACATTTAAATACGGTCATCGTAAAAAAACTCACAGCTACCAATTATACAAGTCCTGGTTGGCGATGTACCAGTAGAAGCCCTCATCGATACAGGAGCAGAAGGAAATTTTATGAGTGAAAATTTCTTCAAAAAGAATTTTTATAGGATACGACTATTTAAAACCAAAAATACGGAAATTATAGCGGCGCAAGGAAAAACATGTCACTGCATCGGGAAATTATCATTAAACTTACAGGTAAAAGAGGAAAATCTCAAAGTATTAATTTTTGTGGTGAAACACCTGCAACACTCTCTTATTTTAGGTATGGACTTTTTAAGGGCCGCGAGGGCCAAATTAAATTTTCAAGATAGTTCCGTGGTGTTGGAGATGGACCAGAGGGTGGTGGAACCTGTGGAGACACCTGAATTGGACCTTAGCCATCTGAATGACCATGAAAGTAAAGCAATACAGCAAGTGGTGAGTAATTTTTCTCATTTGTTTTCAGAAAAACCAGGAAATTGTCAAATAGTCACTCACAAGATTCAATTAAATGCCGAAAAACCTTGTAGGACTAAACCTTATCGCTATGACAAACAAAAAGACGTAATCATCGAGGAACATATTCAGGAGATGTTAAAGAATAAAATAATAACGCCCATAAATAGTGAGTACGCGAGTCCAGTCGTACTATGTAGGAAAAAGAACGAGTTTCCTCCTTCGGATAAAAGGGCTTGGAGGTTTGCTATCGATTACAGAAAACTAAATAGTATTACTAAATTTCCAGTTTACCCTTTGCCGGTTATAGACGAGATCATTAGACAGATCAAATCGACAAGATATATGTCTACTTTGGACTTAACGTCTGGCTACTATCAAATAGCTATGAGACCCGAAGATATACATAAAACCGCGTTTATAACAAAATCGGGCACTTATGCATTTTTACGCATGCCCTTTGGGTTGTGTGGGGCCCCATCAACATTCCAGAGAGCTATGGACATTGTTCTAAAGCCTGTCCTAGGAAAATCAACTTTAATTTATCTAGATGATATAATTATAACGAGTAGTACGTTGGAACAACACATTAATGATCTCGAACAAGTTTTTAAATTATTAAAAGAGGCCGGTCTTACAATTAACGCCTCAAAATGCAAGTTCGCAACTAAAGAACTTAAATATCTCGGTTATAAAATTTCGCAAAAGGGTATAGAAACGCAAGATTCAAAAATAAAAGCTATTAAGAATTTCCCACCGCCCAACACCGCCAAGAAACTTTCTTCTTTCCTTGGGATTATGTTCTTACTATCGATCTTTCATAAAAGATTTCGCTAATATTGTTGAACCACTCTTAGTAATCAAAAGAAAAAAAGAGTAAATTTACGTGGACAGCGGAAGCTAAACACAGCTTTTGAAAGATTAAAAGAAGCGCTTATTAATGCCCCTGTTTTAAAATTCCCGGAGGGGGACGAAAACCTGGAAATTGCGCAGCAGATGCGTCAGACTATGCGGTGGGTGCGGTTCTTATGCAAAATAACCATCCGCTGGCATTTTTTAGTAAAACATTGAATCAGACACAAAGGAATTATACAGCTACAGAAAGAGAAACATTAGCCGTATTAATGGCTGTACACAAATTTCGAGTTTATTTCGGCAAATCGCCAGTAACAGTCTTTTCGGATCATGCGGCTGTTGGTAGACTTTACTCGGGGAAAAACCTAACGCCCAGGTTAATAAGATGGGCTTTAAAACTCCAAGAATATAATATCACAATAAAATATAAACCGGGTAAGGAAAACAATGTAGCTGACGCACTTTCTCGTATAAAACTGGACGATGAAGGAAATGAACTTAAATGCGCTGTGTTGACTTCAAAAATTTTAGATTCTAGAGATACGGTTATTACTGAACTGAAAGCTGATCCTGAATTTGGAAATATCTATGCTTATTTGAAAGACCCCGAAAGCTTTGAGCACACAGATATCGATGCGATAAGAAATAGAGCAAAAAACTATGAAATAATAGATAATTTATTATTCTATACGAAAACAACAAACGAAAATCTTGAGTATAAGCCAGTCATCCCAGCCTCGCTTCGATTAAGCATTTTGAAGGAGTTGCACGAAAAAAAACAGCGGGCCACCTAGGGGTCAGAAAGACTTTAAAAAGGGTACGCGAGGCGGTATATTTCCCGCAATTATACAAAATAGTAACGGCGTATGTCAGGTCCTGCAATCAATGTCAGTTAATAAATGATATTAATTACAGCCCGGCCGGGTACTTAAATAGCATTCGCGCTACATTTCCGAATGAAATTTTAGGCATAGATCTTCTTGGTCCCTTCCCCCAGAGCGAGTTAAATAAAAATCGTTTTCTTTTAGTAATAGTAGATCATTTTTCAAAATGGATAGAAATTGTTCCACTTAAACGCGCGTCAGCCAAAACAGTCGCAGATGCATTCTTACACAGATACATTTTAAAATACGGTGCACCGATAAAAGTCATTAGCGATAACGGAAAACAATTCATTAGTCAAATATTTGAAAACATATGCAATGGACTTGGCATACGCCATATCAAAATGGTTCCGTATAGACCACAGGCTAACATAGCAGAAAGAGTTAATAAAAACATAGTAAAAATAATTCGCAGTTACGTGAGCACACATCACAAGCGCTGGGATGGCTACATAAATGAATTAGCTTATGCTTTAAGAACGGCAACATCATGATACTACGGGAAAAACTCCAGCAGAATTATTTTTAGGCAGAAAGTTAATTACGCCTTTAGATAAATTATTCTTTGTGCAACAAAGAGAGCAGGAGTTTAAACAAAAGATGTGCAAAAACTTGATTGATCAGGCGCTTTAAAAGCTCGGATACGGCAAGAAATAGGCAGAAATTATATTACGATAGAAAACGCCGTGAAGCAGATTTTAAAGTTGGGGATAAAGTATTGAAACGGCGGAAAATTTTCTTTATCAAGTGCCCCAGACAATTTTATGGCAAAGCTAGCTCCAAAGTTTGAAGGCCCCTATGTAATTCAGGAAATCAAAGGAGTAGTTATATCTTAAGAACGAGAGAGGGGAAATCTGTAAAGCAAGTCCCGACCAGGTGAAAAAATACTATAATCCAAATGATTTTGAAATCCTTAAAAGTTTCTTGCAGGACTCAAGTCTAAACGAAATAGAAGGTCCAGAGACTAACAACAACTATTCCACCACCCAAGAAACAGAGAACTGAAGAGAGACCTAGCACTTCTACAACCCGGACGTCGGTATCAAAAAGAAAAAAATGACTTTCAAACTCCAGCGTTTAAGAAAAACAAAATACAGATGCACCGGGTAAAGAAACCGTGGTAAAGAGAAAAACACCACCTACAAAGGATCGCAGGAGAAAT